GAATTAACGAGTCTTGAGGAGTAAATTCGCTTATCAGCATCTATGTGATTGTCAAGGCGTTCTCGGCCTTATTACCGAGATCAAAGTGTCATATCTCCTCATTTTAGAGGTCAGACTTCCAAGCCTGTAGCAGAATCTTCCTCATTATACTCAGAGTGGTGTGGTCGGTGTTATATTGACGCCAGCATGACAGTGGTCGCGGTAACTGAATCTTGTGCTACATCCTGCCTTAGTCGGGAGGTTAGGTAAATAAAAATCACAAGTCAGATCGCTATTTAGTACATAAAGCCCAAATTTGCTACAATCCAAAATTACAAAATTGCGCACATTTGGGAGGGCGAGATTTACGCAGACTGGTCTTATAAAGCCACTTGGATAAAGTTCTAGATGAGTGTTTTAAAAATCTGGCTTTTTTTCCCTCCATTTTTGCGAGAACCACCTTTTCCCTATATTTATGATCGATTGATCGACTTTAAACTGTATTCGTATAAATCTATTAATTCACAAAAGTTAGAATGTTTGAGTTTTAATCTTCGATCAAGAACATGGCAGGCCACAGCAAGTTTCAGTTTTGAAAATCGTTAATGAACTTATGGCATAGTTGGTATGTGTTCAGGGAGATTAGACATTCCCTATTGCAACAAAAAGAAACTCTCTTTTCCTTTGGCAAATCTCCCATTATCAGAATACAACATGCACAGAAGCGTATATCTAGATCTATCAGTCCTATTTCATACATACACCATGTACACTGAGTGACAGTTTCAGGCATTAAAGCTATCGTCAGATGATCATGGGCTGCGGTTTGTTTAAAGTGTAACATACCCACTCAAATAAAGCGTTGATTTCCATAATCATATAACTCTTATATATATATATATATATATATATATATATATATATATATATATATATATATATATATATATATTAAAAAGAAGAGAAGAGAGAGGTGCCGCAAACGTTTTTGGTTGTAATGTGGATTTATTTAGAAAAAAAATTTATGCTTTTGTTTTACATAATTTTACAACACGTGTTTCTGGTCTTTTGACCGTCTTCAGGTAAAAGTGGAGATTTCCACATATTATTAAAATAATTAATTTTTTCATGTTCAATGTTAAATATTCTCGATATGAGACATTTTCTGTTTGTGTGTTGGTAATCTCAATTTCCCTTTTGAATTGGCAATGAAGAGTTCTGCGCCCACATCATAAAACAATTAAGGTTGGTCCAGCGAAATGATAAATTAGTTATCGGCATTTTATCTTTTAATGTTTTAAATGACCCCTCTTTTTACATAATTTTCTCTCGTTGGAACCACTACAACATATTTCTTTTATACATATATATATATATATATATATATATATATATATATATATATATATATATATATATAAAGGGTGTTCCGAATAACTTGGACCCATTTTAAATGTGAATTAAGTTTAAGCGTCTAATATTTTTTTTCTTTTTCTTTCAGATTTAACAACTTAAGTCTTTGGCAATTTCAACCATAGAAAGATTAACAATTAATCATGACAAAGAAATAAGCCAAAATTACGAGGTTGGTGTGGTATAAGTTTCCTCCTTTTGGGACTATACTTATTCACGAATACATACTTATGTCGGTTACTCGTTGTCTCCCCCGGCTTTTCATGTCATCCGTACATCCATTGAGTGTTAAATTCACTAATCCGTCTTTCCTTATTATGTGTCCCGTTGCACGTATTATGTGTCCCGTTGCACGTATTTTGCGTTCGTATTTTTCTGAAGAATCTGAAATGTTCTCTTTACAAATCGCGATTAATTGCTTTGTTTTCATTTTGCGTAATTTCCTCCACCCTGTTATCACCGAAGATTTTAAGTTTGATAAAGACCAGATATTACAGGGAGCGACATCTGGGATGACAGACATAGGTGATATGAAGTATAAAAAGAATTTTTCGCATCATAACATACATCATACTCGACTGAGAAACACCTCGAGAAAATATTTCTGAATTTGAAATAAAATTGCTTCTGATTCCATGCAACAGTCGGTTCTCAAGATTATTCAAAATGAATAGATGCTTTGCGTTTTATCTCGTACAGACACACAGACAGACAGACACACACACACACAAATATATATATATATATATATATATATATATATATATATATATATATATATATATATATATATACAACTGATAATCTTATAAATATAAGCAGCTATACTCGTCCGGCAAAACCTTTTTTTTAGCATGTAAATGAACGAACCAATACCCAAGGGAAAAAAAAAGAAAAAAAAAAAGAACTAAGAACATGTACTTCCGGCGAAAATAATGGTCTAGAATCTAAGTTCAGAGTCCAAAGAAAAAACCTCCGACATGAGTAAAGTAAAAATAACTAAGCAAAGTGCTCAATATGCTAAGTAGAGCAAACTAAGTAAACCTAAAGAGACAGACAAACCTACCTAGGTTTCACCTACGCGGATCATCAGCGTTATATATATATATATATATATATATATATATATATATAGATTGTTATATATTATATATATATATATATATATATATATATATATATATATATATATATATATGTATATATATATATATATATATATATATATATATATATATATATATATATATATATATATATATATATATATATATATATTGAAAATGACGATCCGCGTATATAAAGGGTGCAATTGATAAATTGTCGTCTAAATGCCGCGAAAATGAAAATAACACTAACATCTCATTTTAATAAATATATTTACCAAAATTACACAAAAAATATCTTGAAATATGAGAGGTAGTGTCCTAGTTACCATAGTTAGATTCTAGAGCCTACGAATGTAAACAGGTAGTCACATAGAATGCGTACCTGCGCGACACACCGGATTGCAAATAGGTATATAAGCACTCACCCAATGTTAGTAAAGATAATGTTACTTCTCATCTCCACAAGACTATAGAATCAACGTACTAAGAGGGGTCAAGGGTCACACACCTACTTTCCGTCAGTAGATGTAGATGACGCAGTATGAAGTTGAATAACATGTAATGTTACGAATGCGAGTCTGGGTCTTTTGTCCTTTTCAGATCGTTCGGCGATAAGGTTAGTCATGCAATGTCAGTTGTCATATACAGGGCGCGAAAAAAGAAAATGACGTTAGCATCCCGTTTTAACATAGATATTTGCTAAAATTACACAAAAATATCTTCAAATATGTAAGAGTAAATTTATTCAAGAAAATCGCCATTAACTTCAACCACGGCCTCCAAACGACTTCGGAATCTCCTGCAACTCTTCTGGACGGTTTCCTTGTTTAAGTTGTTGAATGCTGCCATAATTCTTGCCTTTAGTTCATCTTTGGTGTTACAAGGAGTTTTGTTAGTCTCTCACTCAACTGCACTACGCACATAATAATTAAGGATGTTGCACTCTGGGGAGTTAGGTGGCTGGATGTAAGTGGTGATGTGATCGCAGAAATTGTCTGACAGCCGTGACTGGGTACCCCTGCTTGTGTAGCATGATATAGGGTCCTACTGCCAGACATAGGGCCTTTCAGCAGCCATTCTCTTGACTCAGGACAGCACTACATCCTCGAGGCACTTGATGTATGCACGCGTGTTGATTCTGAGGACATGTGGGAAGATGAATGTAGACATAACGTCTCCATCATTAGTGAACACTTCAAACACCTCTGTTGTCACCATTAGACTCATCCAACTCTTTCCGAATTCTCAGCGCTTGACACAGAAACATTCTGAAATCTTTGTATTTCAGCTGCCTGTGCGAATGGTAAGCGGTACAGTTTCCAAATTTCTGGCAGAGTGAATTGCATCATGGTGCTTTTTTTCTCACAGATAGTGCCCAACTGAAACCTTCGATACTGTGCAGTCAACAAAATCAAAACAAACAACGCATATGCGTGAAATTAAAAAATATAAATGGCGAGAATTTATCTATCGCAATAATATATATATATATATATATATATATATATATATATATATATATATATAATATGTGAAAATATATAGAAAATAGGAAGGAACTGGTTAGGTAAATAATCCAAAGTTCCTTAGTATTTTAGTTATTATTTTTTAAAAATAGTGCTCGATACAAAAGTAGAGCATAAATATAATTATTTATTTAAAAATATGATTCCAAATCGCTACATAAGAGGTCAATTGTTTCAAAACAAGAGCCGAAAACTTCAATATAATCCTTTAAATTAAATTGAGTTGAAAGTAAAATGGGCTCCGTTCCATCTTCAAGCGAAATTTTTGTTGGAATAACGTATATCTGAAATTTAATTGTTTTAAAAATTGAAATCAAAATCCCCATGGTAACAGCTAGGGCGAATTGTCTAAATTGGGTAGGCGAGTGTAGGGTGTTAATAATAAGTAGCGGTATAGAGATACTTTCAAGGTGTCAAGTCGGAGAAAGGTGGGGGTGTCAAAAATGAAACGGAAGATGTATTAAGCCTTCGTCAAGTTTGCTTGTCTATGGATATTTATTTATTTATTTTATTTTATTTTATTATGAAAGGGAATTGTGCATATAAAAAGAAAAACTTTCGTAACGTTTGTTTTTTGACGACTTCATAAAGGGTTGTAGCGATTTGAATCATATTTTTAAATAAATAATTATATATATATATATATATATATATATATATATATATATATATATATATATTTATGAATTGTAAAACCGTCTAGGTAGGCAAGTTAGGGAGAATCTACCCTTAATAAAAATAGATCAAACAGCGACATTTTCCTTCAAAATGACTTCAAAGCAAAATTATGAAGGTTACTCTGATTATTATGCCGACAATACAAAATGAATTACTGACGCCACGTGCCTTCCTATATATATATATATATATATATATATATATATATATATATATATATGTAAAGAGAGGACGAGAGAAAGAGAATCAGAATATTCCCTTCTGTTCTGCCTAGTGGCAATTTTCATTAAGGTAGCGCAACCGATTCTTGACTTCATTCCAAATGGCTGACTACTTTCTGTATAAACCAGGTATATATGGTATATACACATTTGAAACATTTTTCTTCTTTCTTTCTTTCTTTCTTTCTTTCTTTCTTTCTTTCTTTCTTTCTTTCTTTCTTTCTTTCTTCTTCTTCTTCTTCCTTGTTCTCTTCTTTTTCCTTGTTTTCTTCTTTATTTGTCTTTTTTTCTTTATCGGTTCTTCTACTACTTAA